TCAAATCACCACCAAGCAAAGACAATCGCTGTAATGGCTGGCATTACTGTGAAACGGGACTTACTGTGGATGAGTTAAACCAAGCTCAGAACCTTGTCATTCGAGCAGTACAGCAGGACGTGTACGCTGAAGAAATCAAGTGTGTGCAAAAACATGGAAAACTACCCAAAACCAGTCCTCTCAAAACCTTAGACCCCTATCTGGACAAAGAAGGACTCCTTAGAGTAGGTGGTCGTATCGGAGACTCAGACATTAGCCAAGGTGAGAAAACCCCTCTCATAGTTCCCGGCCACCACCATGTTGCAGCGCTTCTCATAAAGCATTGCCACGAGCAGACCCAACATCAGGGTCGCCTTTTCACAGAAGGAGCCGTTCGCTCCGCAGGATGGTGGATAGTGGGCGGTAAAAGAAAGGTGAGCACAACCATCCATCACTGTGTTACTTGCAAAAGACTTCGTGCCCCTTTAAGCACACAAAAAATGTCAAACCTCCCTCCAGACCGTCTCACAACAGATCCCCCGTTTACGAATGTGGGCTTAGATGTGTTTGGTCCGTGGTTTGTGTCTTCACGACGCACAAGAGGAAGCGTCAATCAGAATAAAAGGTGGGCTGTCATATTCACTTGTTTGAGTATTAGAGCAGTTCACAATGAAGTGGTAGAGTCGCTTGATACATCTAGCTTCATTAATGCATTCCGACGATTTCTGGCCATGAGGGGACCAGTGAAAACTGTTCGCTCTGATCGAGGCACCAATTTTGTAAGTGCATGTAAGGAACTGAAAATCTCTTCAAACTTGGACAACACAGCTGTGCACACCTTCTTAAAAGAACATGGATGTAAATGGACGTTTAACCCACCTCATGCCTCCCATTTTGGCGGATCGTGGGAGAGAATGATAGGTTTGGCACGGAGAATATTGGACTCTATGTTTTTTCAGCTTAAGACCGCTAAATTCACTCATGAGGTTCTCGTCACCTTCATGGCAGAGGTGGCTGCTATCATAAACTCTAGACCCCTTGTTGCAGTTTCGTCAGACCCGAGTGACCCCTTTATCTTGACTCCAGCTGTTCTCCTGACTCAAAAGGTAGCACCCCTTCAGGCTCCATCTGAAAAATTCACAGCAGCAGACCTCTTCAAACATCAGTGGTGCCAGGTTCAGCACCTGTCGAACATATTCTGGGACAAATGGAGGAAAGAGTTTCTTCCTACTCTCCAGCCACGCCGCAAATGTCTCGTCTCGTCTCGTCTCGTCTTCCTCCGCTTATCCGGGTCCGGGTCGCGGGGGCAGCATCCCAACTAGGGAGCTCCAGGCCGTCCTCTCCCCGGCCTTGTCCACCAGCTCCTCCGGCAGGACCCCAAGGCGTTCCCGGACCAGATTGGAGATGTAACTTCTCCAACGTGTCCTGGGTCGACCCGGGGGCCTTCTGCCGGCAGGACATGCCCGAAACACCTCCCCAGGGAGGCGTCCAGGAGGCATCCTGACCAGATGCCCAAACCACCTCAACTGGCTCCTTTCGATCCGGAGGAGCAGCGGTTCTACTCCGAGTCCCTCCCGAATGTCCGAGCTCCTCACCCTATCTCTAAGGCTGAGCCCGGCCACCCTACGGAGGAAACTCATTTCGGCCGCTTGTATCCGCGATCTCGTTCTTTCGGTCATTACCCAAAGCTCATGACCATAGGTGAGGATTGGGACGTAGATCGACCGGTAAATCGAGAGCCTGGCTTTCTGGCTCAGCTCCCTCTTCCCCACGACAGATCGGCTCAGCGTCCGCATCACTGCAGACGCCGAACCAATCCGCCTGTCGATCTCCCGATCCCTCCTACCCTCACTCGTGAACAAGACCCCGAGATACTTAAACTCCTCCACTTGAGGTAGGACCTCTCCCCCGACCCGGAGGTGGCAAGCCACCCTTTTCCGGTCGAGAACCATGGTCTCAGATTTGGAGGTGCTGATCCTCATCCCAGCCGCTTCACATTCGGCCGCGAACCTACCCAGCAAGAGCTGAAGGTCAGAGCTGGATGAAGCTAGGAGGACCACATCATCCGCAAAAAGCAGAGACGAGATTCTCCTGCCACCAAACTCGACACACTCCACACCACGGCTGCGTCTAGAAATTCTGTCCATAAAAGTGATGAACAGAACCGGTGACAAAGGGCAGCCCTGGCGGAGTCCAACCCTCACTGGGAACAGGTCCGACTTACTACCGGCTATGCGGACCAAACTCACGCTCCTCTGGTAAAGGGACTGAATGGCCCTTAACAGAAAGCCACCCACCCCATACTCCTGGAGCGTCCCCCACAGGGTGCCCCTGGGGACACGGTCATAAGCCTTCTCCAAATCCACAAAGCACATGTGGATTGGTTGGGCAAACTCCCATGCCCCCTCCATCACCCTTGCAAGGGTATAGAGCTGGTCCACAGTTCCACGGCCAGGACGAAAACCACATTGCTCCTCCTCTATCTGTCCGATCGATAGTTGAATCTCAGATAGAGGAGGAGCCGCAAATGTCAATCAAGCCAATCTAACGTGAGCTCAGGAAGTGTTGTGGTACTTAAAGACAGTCAAGTGCCAAGAAATGAATGGCCTCTTGGTCTCATAACCAAGGTGTTCCCAAGTAAAGATGGCAGAATACGTACTGTGGAAATTAAGGTAGCCAAATCAGATGGTACGAAGGTGTTAACCAGACCTATCTCAGAGATTGTACCTTTGGTGCCTTCTTAACATGTTGTTTTCCCCAATATTTAATCATGGCGTTTATTTACGCCAGGCGGGGTGTGTTCTGTTTTCACTAAAAGTTGTAAAAATGTTGTATCACTAAAATGTCATTCTCAGTCAGTGGTTATTCATTATGTGTTTACAGCACCCTCTGTGGTTTCTTCGAGTGGTGCACTTTAGAAACGGCTTTATTTTGAAATAACTTTATTGAACAGGAAGTCCGCTCAGTCTAGTAAAGCAAGTGAGCAAGAAGAAAGGAAACATATCGGCACACAGTTTATGGTGTCCTGTTGGAAAAAAAACACTGTCTACATCTTCTGTTTATGGTTGTATCGCCGGTATGTACTTAAAGTATAAGTTGCAACTTTGTTTTTTGTGCTATATGTTGCCCGCTAATGCTGTATTTAGCTTCAAGCTAGTCTTTTTGTTAAGCCAGTTACCCGCGATTTTGGAGGTTGTCTGGATAGCGTCAGTAGCACAAGTTCTCATAATTAGACCTGTGACATATACTGTGTAGTAGCAGTGTGGTATATAAATGCATATTATGCTGCACATATGTAAATCATAACTGTATTTTTTTGTCTTGTTTTTAGTTTTACCCTTTTCAATGTCAGTAAACCTGTTGACAACGCTCATCGGTCTTCAGAGTGGTGATATAAGAAAGGTGTTAACGCCCCTGCATCAGACATGCACCCATAACGGCACAGGGTGATCTGCCCCTCTCTCCCTGGTTCCTCGCATGGGCCTGTGAAGCCCCTTGAACCAGCTCACCGGGAGTTGCATCATTACATCTTAGGCGGCAGACACAGTCACTGAACTGGGAGAAGCAGACGGACTCACTTTTTACCGACTCTCATTCCCACTCCTGAGCAGCAGGAGTGCTGATTAGCTTAGTTTTTGTTGCATGCGCAATCCCCCCAACCCCCTTTACACATTTTCTTATGTTGTGACTATCTGAATATGTACTTTCATGTGCTGAGTTGGTTTTTTTGTAACTATGCCCTGTGGTTCGGTGCTCCTCTCCTTGTGATCATTTTCTTCAGATCTGCAAATAGGAGCACCGTGAAGTAGCTGCATACTACAGTCAGCCTAATCCTGTTTATGTGTTTGTTGGATGTTTGATCTTGGATGGATTGTGCTGAAAGTAATTTTGTTTTACTGGGATGCTAGTTCTTTGACAAAAATTTTTTCTGACTTCTAAGACGGAGTATCTGGGTTTTAACACCATGCCTGGTCTCTTCTGCTTTCATAAATTGATGATCTTCTTAGTCCCTAAACTCCCAGCAGGTCCCTGAGGTCCAGTGACCAAAGCCTACTGGTTGTGCAGCACCAGGCTAAAGGTCAAAGGTGACAGATCATCTGCTGCTGTGGCCCTCAGACTCTGGACCTCTCTCCCCCTGAGCCTGAGATCAGAGGACTCAGTGGTCTCCTTTAAACTCACCTGTTCAGGCTTTGGTGGGACCTCCTCTTCATGCTGCTGTTTCTGTATATTCTGTACATTTAGAGGCTCCCTTGTTTTTTTGTTTTTAATCACTTTTTCTTTTTTTCAATCTTTAATCTTATCTTTTTCACAGGTGAAACTTGAAAAAATGAGAATATGGTGCAAATGTCAGTAATCCAGTTCAGACTGAGACCATCTAAAGGCTCAGGAACCAACCCTCTGCAGCTGTTCTGGACTCATCAGCTGACCAAAGTGACACTTTGAGTCTGGAATATTGAACCTTTTCACAATATTCTGATTGTCTGAGATGTTGGATGTGGGGTTTTCATCAGCTGTTCGCCATAATCATCACAGTTAGAACAGATAAAGGCTGAAACATCTGGATTTGCAGGATGAGTCTGTCTCATAGATTAGTTTCACTTTTTAAGTTGACTTACTGACATAAATTAACTTTTGCAGCAGATTCTCATTCTTTAAATTTCACCTGTAAATCATCTGGATGTGATTTAGTGTTTTAACTATATGTTGTTGGTAGGAAAAGCAGGAGTGTTACCCATAATTCCCCATTTGTACTGTGATAAACTCCCAGCAACTCTGGGGATGGGTGAGCATGGCCAGTAACAGAGCCCTGAAATGGCTCATTCTGGAAGGTAATGAAACTGTTGGGAATAAAGCTAGCGAGATCACTTCATGTGAGAGGGATTTAGTTCAAAATCATTTTGAGAGTCAGTTTTTTATAGACCATAGTGCAAGTCCCTTTAAACATGAGGGATCAATGGAACCGGTGAATTATTCTCCTCCAATCATTCAAAATGATTCTATCACATCTTGTGTGTTTCTACCTGCTCCAACATGTCCTTGGGGATCTCCTCTTGTTCATCCATGGTCAGGATGGCACAACAGATCTCCTCATTGGTCATCTTGAGCCTGTGAAACAGAAACTCATTCATTAAGAAGGTTTAGTGATGATTAATAATGAATGGGATACCACAGTCATCCTGATCCTGTTTATGTCTTTCTGTGTGTTGTTTGTGTACTCTTGCACTGGTTGTGCAGAAACATATTTTGTTACAGAGACACTGGTTTAATGACAGTAAAGTGATTCTGAGAAAGTAATTCTCCATTTCTAAATGGGCCACATCATGGAAAAAGCACTTTTTTGGGCTTTTTACTACGTGTGATTGGAATTTCCTCACTTAAAATACCCCATTGCATTACCACTTTATTTATAGAGTGCTTTTAATACGATACTAACAACCGACGAAAGCGCTGTACTTTCACAAAACAACACAGGCAGAAATAGTCACATAGGTCAAAAAATAAATAAATTACACAGAGCAACGAAGTAAAGCCAAACAAACAAGTTGGAACCACAAGATGCTAATCCACAGAGTTAAAACTGAACATCCAAGGTGGAAAGGAGCATGAAAAAGTATGAGTCAATGTTTTATGGCTTAGGACAGGGGTACTCAAAAACAAGTGTCAAAGGACCACATAAAATATTCAATCAGTCAAAGGTCTGTTTATTATCATTTGTCAGTTTGAATGAATTTTAAATAATTTATTTGTTTTGCACTGCTGCACATAATTATTTGAACATCTGGCAATCAGGAAGAACTCTGGCTCTCTAAGAGCTGCTACTCTGACTTTGAAAAGTCTACATCTACTCACTGCCCTGTTGCGCTCTCTAGCCTTGTAAAAATCATACATTGTGAATAGTGGAACAACTCACTTCTGTTCCCGCTGGAGATTACAGGCTTGTCTTGAAGACATAAAAAATTGGAGGACTCTAAATTTTCTGCTTTTAAATCAAGACAAGACTGAAGTTCTCATCTTTGGACAGCTTAGTCAGTCACCTGACCGGAATGGCATTAAATCAGTCTCCGAGAACAAAGTAAGGAACCTTGGTGTTATCTTCGACCGGTGCTGAAAAACTAGTTCATGCATTTATTACATCAATACTGGATTACTGTAGTTCATTACTCTCAGGAAGTCCACAGTGTTGGATAAGTTATGGATACATTGTGTATGATTTTAAACAAAAGTTACATCCAGCTCTTTTTCCCCTGGCAACAGGCAGGCGTTTGACCTTGCTTCTTCCCAGTCCTAGCTTATCAGTAAGAACGCCCTGTGCCAGCGTCTGGGTGTCTCCCTTTCGAAGTCTAAAGGAATGTGTAAATGTGTGTGCGTTTTATCATCTCTGTGTGTCTTTTAATAAATACTCTTGAGAGGGCTTTTGTCCGACGAGAGCAAAGAGACCACCGACTCGTGTGTATCATTTTATCTCTTTCTCTCCATCTCCATCTGGCTCAAGTCGGAGCCAGATGGCTCATAACGGAGAAATAAACTATTTTTACACTTCGTGATTATGGGATATGTCCGTTCTCCACCCAATAAGATCGATGAGCTCACAGCGCTGACCAGGCTGCAGCGGGACTACAGACGGTGTAGCCTGATGTTTTTTACGAAAACGTGGACGAATGAGCTCATAGCTGACTGAGGTTTCCCTGGAAGCATTTAGTTTTCCTGATGTAAACATCTGGACAGTCCTCACTACACTGGACTGCATAAACAACACCACTGAGCTTCTGTTTGGGTGTTTTGTCTTCAGGATGAACCAGGTTCTGTCTGAGGGTGTTGTTGGGTTTAAAGTTTACCAGGATGTCGTGTTTGGAGAAGATTCTTCTAAGTTTCTCTGAGTATGGGATGACGGCGCCTTTGGGCCTGTTGGCCTTTTCTTTGCTGGTTGCTGCCTTGGATGCTTCTCCAGACTTCTTTGTAGATTTCACAAAGGCCCAGTTACGGTATCTGCAGTTCAGGATTGATTAACAGTAGGCCAACGACTCATCAGGGGCTAGAGAGGAGGGGTACTCAGAGGTAGTTTCTGCTTGATAAATAACAGCAGACAGCTACAGCTTATAAGCTTGACTTCCCCATTTTCCAGTTAGAAAGAACAAAGCTCCTCAGATGAGAAGTGAAACGGCTTCAAGGAACCAAAGTAGTCCTGTTGGCTTCATTTGAATTTCCCCACTGTGGGATCATTCTATTCTATTCTATTCTATTCTATTCTATTCTATTCAAAAATCGTAAACATGAAGTTCTATTGTCTAATATTAATAAACAAATTTATAGTAGTTTTCTTTTCTTTTGTAATTTTAAAACAGTAAAGGACAAATGAACTCAGCCGTTTCTACCTGTAAATCTTCCACCGGGGGCAGTACACTGATAAAGGTACTAATCCTGATGCTCCATCCTGGTGTTTTAAGGCCAGAAGGGCTTTGTAAGGATTTGTAACAAAAGTGCAGAAGGAGTGAAATTAAAGTAAGTTCGACAGCTAAACTCAGAGCCACCAGAAACTGACCGTGACAGCAGAATGTTACAGTTCTGAGCTCGGCGACCATCTATCACTGACAGCTCCTTCACTTTCCTCACAGAAATTTCCTCCTCTGCATCTTTCTGTGAACACACACACAGACACACACACACAGACACACACACACAGACACACACAGCTGTTTTACAGACCTGCTAAACACTGCATCTCCAGTTATGCTTATACCATTTGTATCTTTGTTTTTCTGCTGCCTGATGTTACATTGACTGTATTAACGGTTGCATCACTAACATGTAAGATGGGTTAGGGTTAGGCGTATGTTTAATGTGTTGTGTTACTGTTGAACGCTGGTAAGCTGAAAACATCTTCTGGAACTCCTCCAGATCCAGGACTTTGAACGTTTCCAAATCATCAATTTCTTTCCAGATGGTTCCTTCTATCTTGATCTAAAACAAACAAACAAACAAACAAACAAACAAACAAACAAACAAACAAACATGTGACTCCAGCAGCAGTGTCTCAGCTGATTTAAAGATTTTTTTCAATCTGTTTGTTCTGATAACATCTGGGTCCCTCAGAAAAATGACAGCATCAGTAAAGAATGACTCAGTGGCCTGAAGTGATCATTACTCTGTTGGTGAATCTGTTGTTTGTTTCTCTTTCTAACAGTAATTTGTTAAACAGCTGATGTAAACAAAAACACCCAATCAGAAGCAGTATAAAGCACTTATCACCGAAAGAAACCAAACAAATCATAACGTCATTAAGTCATAAGAACAAAACAAAATTTTATTAAACAAATAAAAGATAAATAAAATAAAAAATGCTGTTATACTGATGAAGAAAACAATAAAAGGTTTAGTTAAAAGCAGCTTTAAATAAAGGCTCTTCAGCTGTTTAAAAGTGTCCAGCCTGTCAACGCTGCAGAAGATAAATGACCGAATGTTTATAGAACTCAGAATGGAAAGATAGGGGCAGTAAAGCTTGCATATAAATGACAGGAGACATTATGAAAAGAATTAATTATTTGTCCAATAGAATGTATATATAGTAGAAACAAGAATGGACCCAAAACAGAGCCTTGGGGTATCCCACAGAACAGATCAGTAAAATCGGACATTTTGTTAATATAGACTGTGGGTGTGTCCGAATCCACGGGAAGGATGCTTGTAAGAGTGCAATGACGTCACAGCGCAGCGACGAGTACTGTCCGAATTCCAAGAATACTCATTCTCACGTCCTCAAACGCATCCTCGCTCCACCCACATTTCGAGGACGGGTCTGTTGTATCCTCACAGAACAAGGCTATCCCAGCATGCTTTGCGCGCCGGCTGTGGATTTTCAACAGGCAGAGAAAATGGAGAGAGCTATGAAGTTTTAAACGTAAGTTTGTTAAAAACTAGCCGTAGAAACCTTAAAAGCTTAAAGCGGTTCAGTTTATAGACATTTTTCGTCTGTATATTTGTTTTTTAAATTACATTTTAGGCAGAAATCAGCCAGAACGAGTTTGTATCACGGGTCCCAGTTATTCCTGTGTGTGTGTGTGTGTGTGTGTGTGTGTGTGTGTGTGTGGCGAATTAAACTTGTCATTTGTTTTGAGGACAACAGAGCAAAGAAGAGTTTTTATTAAGCTTAGAGGTGAAGAGTGAAGCTGTTTACACACAACCACAGTAGTTCTGCTGTGAAAACTAGTTTTACATTTCAGGGATTACACAGCTGACACGTTTTAATGAAGTGTTTGTGTGAAGAATATAATTTTTATCTTCTTGTGTGGATAAATGTAAAAATGTGTTTATTGCCTTTTTGTCACCTGTGGTCTCTGATTTTCTCTGTAGGACTGCAGGTGTCCAGGGTCAGGAGAGGCTTTACCTGTTGGTCATCCTGGGAGAGAGGCCTTCTACTGTCATCATGTTGATGTTATTTAGCTGTTTGATATTTGAACACATTTATTGAAGTTTTTCTCAATTGCTAAAACACAAAAGCCAATCCTCTAAACCAAATGACCAGTTGTCTAAACACATTTACTAAATCTAGCCATCATTTTCCAACATCATAAACACATTTCACATGAAGACACAATACACAAAACACAATCCTCTGTTCTCATAAATCTAAACACGTTTCCTTGCTAAAACACAAGTTGCAAAAGAACTCTGCTCATATTCTCAAATGAAAGCTCATGTGATGCCAAATGCTTGCCACAGTCAGCACTAATTGAACACAGTGAACACACCTGACGTCATTCATTACACACAACGACTCAAAATTGAAGACACTTGTTGCTAATGCTGTGACCACATCTCCTCACCTTCCTAGAGGAGCTAAAAGACATCCTCCTGGACCACCAACAACACCATCCTGGGCCCGCACATCACATTTATGTGATCATTTGGGACAATGCCCGCTTCCACAGAACAAACCAAATCAGAGAGTGGTTCACCACCAACAGTAACCACTTTTTAAACGTCTGTCTGCCACCCTACTCCCCTTTCCTGAACCCTATAGAGCAGCGATTCCCAAAGTGTGGTGCGCGCACCCCCAGGGGTGCGCGAGCTGCCGCTAGGGGGTTTGCGAGGTGAAAAGTGTAATGGCTGCGGAGTCCAGAGAAGTCTGTCATATGTCACCATTAGCGTAGCCAGAAACTCATTTGTGGGTGGGCCAAAGAAAATGTAAGTGGGCCCAATAAACGTAATTGAAAGCAAGTATTTTTTGCATGTGTGTGTGTGTGTGTGTGTCCTCCGCACATGCCCTAGCTCAGGGGTCAGCAATCCGCGGCTCTGGAGCCGCATGCGGCTCTTCCATCCATCTGATGCGGCTCTCTGTGCTTGTAAAATAATGAATGGATATTTAAATAAAATGCTTTATATTTTACTGCATTAATTTTACATCTGTATGCTAATTCTATGTAAAGATTGTCTGTGTGAACCTGAACAGGTCCAACCCGGTCTTACTGTGTGACCGGGTTGACGCGTCATGCTTGTGCGTAATCATATAGGCCAGCGGTTCCCAAACTTATGTAGCCGCGCACCCCCTTCTATGTCCCGACCATGTTGACGCACCCCACAGCCCCACATCAGGGCATGGCTATATATATATATATATATATATATATATATATATATATATATATATATATATATATATATATATATCAGACGTCACGCTAAACCAGAGGTCAGCAATCTGTTCCCATCAAAGAGCCATTGTGTTAATGTAGTTTTAGAAAAGGGTGTTGCGTTTAGACATTAGGGAACATGGAGGAAACGTTTGTGAAATGTGTTTCAGCATTTGAGAAAAACTAACATAATGCTGCACTTTAGAAAATGGGTTGAAATATAACATGTTGGTGGAGCTGGGTTCCGACGACCCGCTTGTGGAGCTCTCAGGAGACCAATGTTTTCCACCCTTATCCCCTCCCTGCAGCCCAGTCCATCTCTGTCTGATCGCGGCTTCTGTTAGCTGCGCTGGCTGACGGCTGGTTCTTATGGCAAGCCAGAACCGCCAAAATACGCCACTTCTCCCGGCAGCTCGGCGCATCTTTGTCTCATTGCGGCTTCTGTGTGCTGCGCGGGCTGACGGCTTGTGGAGCTCTGGGATGGAAACCTTTCCACCCGGTTTTCCCCAGCGGCGGCTCTGCACATCTCAGATCGCAGCGGCGCTTGTCTGCTGTGCGGCTGCCGGCTTGTGGAGGTCTCAGAGACCTCTGTGTTCCACCCGGTTTTACCCAGCGGTCAGCCCGGCGTATCTCTGACTCAGAAGCTCTGGTGTTGTGCACAGTTAACCCCGGTTGTAGCTAGGTTGCTACCTCCGTTAGCTTAGCTCCCACCTCCGCATTAGCTTTGGGTTAGCTTCATGTTAGCTTGTAGCTAGTTCGACCGGGTGTCGTCAGTTGATCCCAGCCTTACAGCCCCACCCTCAGCTCCTCCTCTCTTCCCTTTTATGGAATTGTCTGGACTTGACAGAACCTGTGACACGGTCAAAATGGCGGTGGTGGCCACCTCCCGTTTTAGCAGAAAAACTTGTTATTGGAGCCTATGGAAACCCATTGTCCATATATTAATGTCGATGTTTAGAACAGAGGAAAGAGCCGCAGCGAACTTTGCCGCTGTCTTCATTGTTTATGAGCAACTGAGAGTCGCTGTGTGTGACGTCTGCAATGCTGTAGTTTTTTAGCTGTAGTCAAAGATGACATCTGGTGACAGTGTGAACATCTTCCTTTAGAAACAAGACTTTTAGCGCTTTAACTTGCGGTTTTAAAGACGCGTCCAAGTCATTTAGACCAGAGGAAAGAGACGCAGCGAACGCCGCTTCAGTCGCTATGTTTATGACAAACTCGGCGATACGTTGTGTGACGTACGCTACTCAGCTCTGATTGGCTCAGTTAGAATTCTCAGGGGGCGGGGCTATTTGAATAGGAGAGTTCCCAGACCCTTTCTCTGTGCAGAATTAAACAGAGGAGGAGACTGGCGGGCAAGGTTAGGACTTCTGTTAGAAAGGTAGGATCTAAACCTGTTCCAGAGATCCCCACCGAGTCACCAAGTCTGTTAATTAAGGTGCTGTGATCAACAGTGTCAAAGCCGCAGAAAGATCTAACAATACTAACGCTGTGACTTCCCCGTTGTCTGCAGCCATCATGTCACTGGAAACTTTAAGCAAAGCTGTTTCTGTTGAACGCTTTTTAGGAAAACCAGACTGGAATTTGTCAAAACTGTTGTGTAGTTCCAGAAAAGTCATCAGTTGATCTCACACGACTTTTTCTAGAATTTTAGAAATAAATGGCAATTGGAAAATGAGTCTCACCCCATGATACTTAAACTCCTCCAGTTGGCGTAGGACCTCATCCCTGACCCGGAGAAGGCATTTCACCCTCTTTGTTTATGTTTATGTTTATTTATTTGGTAGATGCTTTTATCCAAAGCGACTTACAATTTATAACCTATAGGGCATGTTGTGATCTGTGGGGGAAACCGGAGTATCTCCCTTAGAGATAGGGTGAGAAGTAGGGATGTCCTGATCCGATCACATGATCGGAAGTCGGCCCCGATCACGTGGTTTCAGACTGATCAGGACTTGGGCTTTACTTCCCGATCCAAGCCCCAATCCGGACTCGGATACTGGGTTCAAATTACTTGGTTCTCCTGAAAGGGTTGTCAGGCTCCCCTGATGCCCTTAAGTTACACACACCCAGTTTCTACCTTTATTAGATTATTTATATGGACTCAGCGTAGCGGGGATTCTTAGAGCAGAGATGCAGAGAGCGGCAGGCAGACCGCTGATTATTCATGAACTCCAGCTGTGTTCTGCACACGGCCACAGTTGAGCCTGGTTTATGGTTCTCCGTCAGCTCCGCAAGGGACAGACACGCACGGACTGACGGAAGCGTTTTGCTCTCATACTTCTCCGTCTCCTGGAGAGCGTTGCAAAGCAATTGCCTGGCAGGACAACA